AAGAAATGTAAAGGTAAAGATCACAGTGCCTGTATAACATCTTTTCTCCTTTTAAGGTTTCCTAGCTCAACTTTTAAACAATTTGATTAATGATGAATCTTGGTCTAGGATTGTTCTTGTAGTTGAAGTTTATTGAACGTCTTGGATTTGTGGTCTTATATATTTTAAAGAACACTTCCATTCATATAATTCACCGACCTGCCAAAGCTGGACCTGTGCAGGACACTGTCGTGGTTCTCTTAAGATCTTTTTCTCTTAGTGTTGCATTTTTGAGAGCTTTCATCATTTTGCCTTCAAGTTCACCAGTTCTCTCCTGTGATGTTTAATGTACTATCCCCATCGAGAGGACTTTTTAACTAAATATTGCCTTTCAAGACATTCCATTTGGATCTTCTTTATATCTTCCAGGTCTCCACTTAGTATGTTCCATTTCTCTGCTACCCTTTTGATCCTGGCTTAGGTTCAGTGTTTTAATGTCCTTTACCTGTGTTAATAAATTTTGATTGACTTCATTATAGATGTACTTTTCTGCTTCTTGACATGTTTGTTAAGTGTTTATTTAATGCTAGACCATGATTTATTTTGCTGGATGCTGAATAGTTCTGGAATACTGTAAACATATCTGAGCTTTGTTCCAAGACTTAGTTAAATTATCTGAAAACAGTATGATCCTTTTGCATCTTGCTTTGACGTTTTGTTAGGTGGCACCCGAAAAGCATTTAGCTTAAGGTTAATTTTGCTACAATACTGAAGCGAAACCCTGTGCTCCCCCCTATGCCTATGTGAGCTCCTGAGATTACTCCTTGAACCCTTTCAGCTGGTTTTTTTCCCCAGCCTTGGGTCATTTTCTCATACACACGTACTGACAACTGACCTAAATAATCATGGGGGATCTTCTTCAGATTTCTGACACTCTGTGTTTGGCCAGCGCTTTCTTCTACGGAATTCCAGCTGTTTCTGGTCCCTCAACTCAGGAAGACTGCTACCTCTCTTCCATGCTGTTTCCATGTGCTGCAGCCCAGAGGCTGTCCACACAGCAGGCCTCCCTGGTTACGCATCATTCTAGATTCACAGGCCTTTACCGATTGATGTCTAGACTCTTAAAAATCCACTGTTTCATATATTTTATTTTATTATGTATTTGTTTCCAATGGTAGCACAGCCTGATCTGTTATTCCGTCTTGGCTAGAAGTAGAATTCGGGGTAAGAAATTTAAAGGCAACTTAGGGACCACGATCATTTCATAAAATGATGTCCATTTCAATCAAGAGCATGAACGAGGAAAATGGCTACGAGGATCAGTTACACCTTTGGATTAACATGTTACCATTAGGTTGAACCACCAGTAGTATATGCACGACTGTCTCATTGGGAGGTTTGTATCACAAGTGGTAAATGCATAACCACCCCTAATGGGACAGTCATGCATCTACCACCAAAGGCTGAGAGCTGCCCAGCACCAAGGCATACTATTTACGGCCCCATCATGAACATATTAAAAAAACTTTCCTGATTAGCTCTGGGTGTCTGTTTGTATGAGAAGTACTTGCTTCAGACAATGCTTAATATCTCAGTCCCCAGAGTTCTATACAGAGAAGCACCGATCACAGAGATACACAGATTACTGTTGCCTCCTTGCAGACAGGAATTGGCATTATCTAGAAAGGAAATAATAGCACAGGTATTTAACATGTATCAGTTAACCTGACTAGGGACTGACTTTCTGTCAGATGCACGTCTTAGTACTTTATCTACATTAACTTGCAGAATCCTGAAATTTTACCAGTAAAGATATACTAAGGCACAAAGAGAGACACTCACAAGGAGCCAGCGTGGGGCCATTTGCTTCTAACCTCATTGCATTGCCTTGAGTGGTTTCTTGTCCTGAGAGGAATCCACGAGAATGGTTTGCAGGGATGCCTGCAAGATGCGTGACAAAGTCTCATATGTGATGCTGGTGAACTGGACAGAAAAGCACGAAATCAGGTTTCAAGAGTCACACATCACCTGTGTAAGAATGTAAGGGTCTCTGTCTCAACTCAGAGCTTGCCTACCAATTCATCGTTAGTTAAGGAAAGCCAGGAAAGCCACTTTACAAACTGGTGTTAGGGTCATGGCTGGATTCAAGGACAACACACACTTATTAAGCACCTAATATGTACCAAACGCTCATCATGATAACTGAGAAACACTGATGAGTTAAAAAGCAAAGGTTGCTACCCTGGAAGGCTTCATAATCTAGAAGAGGGAAATTCTCAAAGCCATAGTCATAACAGGTAAGTGAACTAGGCAGCATGGGAAAAGATGCTCGGAGCATACTGGAGAGGGTTGGGAGAGGTAGGTACCATAAGGGTTGGCAGGCTGAGAGCTCCAGGGTTACTGTCTCCAGCAGGGTGGTGAGGGTAGGTCTCATCATACAGGGCACACAGAAAACAAAAACAAAAGTCATACAAAAGGAGAGAGTTACTCCTGTAGATAACTAAGACAGAAGTTGCCAGACAGAGGAAAGAGCCGCACGCAGCAGGATGTGCTGAGCTCCTGGGAGAGCAGGAAGAGCCGTACAGCTGCAAGAGACAGGTTGACGAGGAGCACAGAAGGGGACGAGGGCACAGCCAGCACTGGTGAGCCCGTGTTTCCGCAAGAACAGAACAGTGACAGTAGCCTTACACAATCCTGTGGTTTCAGTGTCATCCAGAACACAGGTCTCCCAGGATGACAACGGAAGGAGCCCTGCAGTGCTGTCCTGGCCTGGAGCTGACTCAGAAGACAAGCCCTGGATCCAGGGCGGCATGCCCAAGTCCTTGGCGGCCCAGGCAGCATGAGGTCATGTACCTTCTGTCCTGTGTTCCCAAGGGGTACCAGAGCCTTAGTGTGACACGCCGCAGCCCCCTCACCCCTGACAGAAGCATCTGTAGCCCTGCAAGCGGAACACGGGCTAGTGACAAGCAGGAGCTGATCGCCACCAAAGTGACCGTTATACTTCCCTTCCTCAGGTAATCACTCCTACTAATTATCAGAGCAGAAAGTGCCAGTTGATTTTGATTGGTGAAACTCTCCAGGAAAAAATAAGTAGAAAAATATCAATTGCCTGTGTTGGAAAGAGGGTGATCTTTGTTTCTCCCTCAGGGACAGACGCACCTGGGTTTCCTTTTCTGCTCTTCCTTTTCTGGCTGGGAACCCCTGGCCCACCACCTAACCTCCTTTGGTCCCCATTTTCTCATTCATTAAGATTGGGTAAAATTCCCCATCTCAATGCTTGCATTCAGTTTTCATGTAGCAGTTCAAACACACAGCCCAGTGTGGGGGGCTGCAAGCTCCTTATACATGAAGTTCCCCCCTCAGTTCAGCCTTGAGTGTGAAACGGCTGAGCTCGCAAAGAGCAAAATGGCTCTATCTGCAGGGAGGCCTATTCTCTGTCCAGCGCCCATCCCATTCAAGCTTACTCCCGCAAGACCAGCTCCTCCTGGCCTGCCCCGTCTCATGAGCCTGGAACAGGACTCCCCGCTGGGCATAGTGGCCTTTCTGTGTCCCACACTCCACTGATTGTGCCTCCTTATCCTCACTGGGGGTCTCTAAATGCTCAGGGTCCTCTGGAGGGTCCCATCCTCATGACCTTTGTACTGATCATCATGGCATCAAAGGCCACCTTAAAATCTGCCCTCTCTTGACATTCCTGTGCCATCAATTCATGCTAGGGACTAAAGCTGGGGTGGGTATACAGGAATGAGAGCCACGCTGCTGAGCCACGTAGCAGCTCACAGCGAGCCTGAGGCAGAACGGTAGGCTGCCAGGATGACTGGGCCTGCGGGTGCTCGTACCTCCCCACGAAGGTGTCCAGCCCTGCAGCTGGGGGCTGGAAGGAAGCACCTAGTGGGATGGAGGTGGGGGAAACAGGCCTGGAGGGGGAGGCTCCCGGGCACAGTGCCCAGGGGCACAGCAGAGGAGGATTCAGGGCAACATCGCATTACGTGTCCTTGAGGAAAAACACTGAAGAGAAGGCAGCAGCCCAGCTTTGAGAGCTGCTATTTTTCCACACCCCAAACAATTGCAGGAAACACCCCACCCCAACTAAGGGCCTGGTAAGTGGCTTCTGAGTACCACCCTCTTCCCAGTCACCACCTTCTCCTGTCCTTTTGTCTTACTGTGGCACTGAAAAGCCTTCGCGTCTAAAATAAGCACCACTCCAAGTGGTAATGCTCTGACTTTCTCCTGAGGGCAGGGCCTGCCCTGTTACACGGTTGGTCACAAACATAATGAATGGCTCCCAGGTACCAGAATATCCCTCATGGCACCCTCTGCCTCTGGAACTGCCCACAACACAGGCCTTTCTGTTTGTGACACAGCACAGAAGTGTGTGCTCTAAGGGTGACCAAGCTGAATTCGTGCTCTACCACCTAGCAGTCAAACTATTTGGAATGACCACTTAATCTGACTTGGTATCATTGCATGTAATCAGGGAACATAATCTAGAGAGTTGTGAGAGCTAATTGTGATCACACAGGTTGGAAACTTCAAGACTAAATGTGGACACAGTTCAATAAATGCTACTTAGTGAGTTTATTACTATCATATAGTCAATTTATTTCTTGTTAAACCTCCCTTTGATATTGTCTGGTGATTTAACAACTCCCTCTTATCTGTGCAGGGTTTGAAGTTGGGTGATATTACATCATTTCTAAGAAGTATGAGCTCATTTTCTTGCTCCAGTGTCCTAAAGTGTCCAAGTGTTGAAATATTAGGCTCCTGATGTCCACAGTCACCCTCCCACCCCCCTGCAAAGCTGCCTCTGTGTGGATGGTGACCGCGAGCGTGTGTGTGGATGAATATGCATGTGTGCCTTTCTGGGCCACAGATGTGGGAATGCTTGCGAGACGGTGAGCATGTGTGTGTGGCTGTGTGCAGGTGTGTGCATATGTAAAGTGTGAATACCCGCATCCTCTAACCAGAGCCAGACTGCCGAGGGAGGGCCATTGCTGAGCCAGCCCTTCCAGGCTGCTTACCTCCATGTTTTTGCAGAAAGTGGCGTTGGTGCCAAACAGGATCTGGCACTGCTCGTCGGCACTGTAGTGCATGCCAGGCAGCTTGTGAGAGAGGCGCACTGCATGCTGGCTCCTGGGGTCAGTGACCAACAAACAGGTGCTGACCTTGGACCTGGAAGAGCCAAGAGGCAAGCTGACTTGAAAATGTACCTCCCAAGTACACACGTTAAGTGTTCAGCCCCTGGGAAAGATGCAGCAGGGAAACAGCAGGACCCAGGCAGTGGGCACACTAGACTGTGTTTTGTTTGCCTTTTACTCTTTTTCTACTTGGCTGCATATGGATCTCTCTCCAAAGGCAATGAGATATTGGCCACTCTGGAGGGTCCTGGAAATACCACCACCAGCAGATGGACTCTCCTTAGGGGGTTGATAAAAACGCTTTTGAAACAGATTACAGCACCTTTTAAAGGATGAACTCAAGCCAAAATTACTATCAATAAAGAAAAAGCACAAGTAAGGGTTGTTTTATTTTAAATGAAATCAGCGTGTTTATTTCCAACTCCCTAGATTCTGGGAGAGGGCGTGCCGGGCTGTGGCAGGTATGCCACACCAGGTACGTCACCTGGCCACACCTCCTGCACTGACTTCAGAAGTTGACCAGGAAAGAAAGTTCACTTACAGTGAGAGGTACATTTTCCCCAAAGCGAGCCCCATCAGGAGGTTAAATACTGAAGTGCTTGTCTTTTTCTATTCTTAAAGCAAGGCAGATGAGAGTAAAAAGAAAACCCAGCCATTTGCCAAAACCCTAAGCAAAGGCTTGCAGGTGCACAAGCACACACAGACCAGGCTGGTCCTCCTCCTCCAGGCTCAGAGTCACATCACCTGTCATGAATGGGACTGCGCTATATACTTGATCAAGGAAAACAAACTGCTCAATAGTACTGACCCTGCTGGGTAAGTAACATAACACCAAGTAACTTACACTTTATTATGACTGTGTGATAGCAAAGACTCAATGAAAGTAGACTGCATTAAAATTAACAAGCTCATTCTCAGCCTGGCTACTGCTTAAACAATTCCTCCACAACAGGAGGAAAGACCCGGATGATGCTTCTGTCACTTCCCCCAGTTGCTCTGGGTACTTTATTGTTGGACTGGAAAGCTCCCTGTGCAGGTAAAACACAGAGATGCACTGCCATTTCTTTGGGTAAAGGGATTGACAGAACTAAATAGAGAAATGATCAAGGTAAACACATTGCATCAGGCTACAAATCTACACCTTTGGTTTAGACACTAAGCGACTGGGACAGTCCATGGTCCCAATTAGATAAAATGGCCAATTCTTATGCAGAAGTGTGGAAGTGGAATGATGGAAGAAAGTGGCAGTGAGAGACAGTCACTCCTTCCCTCTCCTCCTCCGGTAATGTCTCTCCCCTACCAGGAGGCAGCCTGAGCAGCCAAGCAGTGCTTGGCGCTGTGGCAGCTAAGTGGCACCATTAAAGCAGTGTTACTCATGGTCACAGACTGCAGGTGTCATGGGTTTTCAAGGCGGGATCACTGTGCTGGTATTCCACCAATGGGTAAGCACTTAATGGTCCCAGACTGACAACTCAACATGGTGCATGGTACCGCTGGGCAGGAAGCGCTTCCCTGTTACAGGAGACTGCGCTGACCCCCTCTTCAGATCAGCTGAGGACCCAACAGGAGACTCACTCCTCCTCCTACCTGCTGAACTCCATTCTGTCTTTTGGAAGAACTTCCTACTGTTTTCAGGCTATAAAATAACTCTATGACTTACTTGAGGAAGTTTTCAAGGTCATCTCGACTGCAGGAGGACCAAGAGAGGTCGCTGGGATTCCGGCCTTTCACCCACTCTCCCGACATGATGTGGGACCGGCCGGCGCAGGATGAGTGATCGTCGTCGTGGTTCATCCCCAGGCTGTCCAAAGAGAAGGAGAAAGGGACGCTCTGCTAGAAGTGTCTCATTTCCAGGCCCAGGGTCAGGTGTATAACTGCCCTGAAATTCAGCCTTAGCTACCGACACTCCTTGTTTAATGAGATACCTGTTTAACAAAGGTTTGGACTCACAACTAAGGTGCACTATTTAGACCACCAACCCACCACTCGGACTTAAGATCCACATTCGGACTTACGGTGCAGGCCTGTGAGCAACAGTGGGGTCTGACTGTGGCTTTGGCTTCTTCTATAGCACAGTACTGTAGCTTTTGCTGATTGCACTGTACAGAACAATATTTAGTTTTATGCTCTGTTACACCAGTGGAAGCATATGATCACAGCTGGCTGTTTGTCACTGAAAGCTTTAAGAGGCTTGCCATCACTGTTACATGGTTCAGTGCTGCATGTGAGAGTTGTGCAAATGAAAGCCAAGTCACCACGTAGAAGTTTCCTTTAACCATTTCTTTGTTATAAATACTTCAATGTATACCCTATACACAAGTCCTCGCTTAGTGACCCATTTGTTTAAGGACCTCCCCATAGGACCAGAACCCAGGCATTAAATGAGGAAGGCTGGTACAAAAGGTGATGCAGTGTGATACAGGATCCAACAGAGCAGACTGCAATCAGGAATTATGGAGAAATTGAGCAGATATTTGATAATAATGAGGAAATATATTAATTATGGCGCTGTAGTTCTTAAGCTTTTAAGCTTCCAACAACTAAACTTGCTTTGTTAGTAATCCCAGTGCTTTGTGTTCCTTAGAGATTCATCACAGTGCTAAAGGCCAGTTGGGAACCAACTAAGCCTTTTTATTTTTGATACCAGGGATCAAACTCACAACCTCATGCTTGCCAGGCAGGTGCTTAAGCCCCTGAGCTAAACCCCCAGCCCCTAGCTAAGCCTTTTTGACTTATCATGTGTCATAAGGCTGGGGTCTCAAACTCACAATTACAAGTTTTTATCTTTCATATTTCGGTTATCTGAGTTAACCAAGATTATTACTGTCCCCTTCTCTACGTAACAGGATCTGAGGGACACCAGGATGCCTGCCAAGGCATAAACAGCACAACAGCTAAGATGTGGACACAACAAAAATAGAAATCTTCCATATGCAACGATGTGGATGAAACGTGAAGGCACTATGTTAAATGAAACCGACCTTTTATTCTCTTCTGGCTGATACCCCTTCGTTCCTCTGTTTCATATTAACTTTTGAGGTTTGCAGGTATATCTACCAAAGGATATCATCAACTGAATGCCTTAAATTAACATACGGTTTAACTGACCACCTAAATACAGTGAGTGGTGTTTTCAAATGGGTAAAGCTTTGGAAAATTATAAGGATTCCAAAAGACTCTGTGAAACATGTAGAGGCTATAGAAATAAAATGTCACATTCAAAACATCAGGGCCAGCTTCCATCTTGTAGTGACAAGGTGTCCCAAGTACCTTGTCCCAGGCATCAGGTCCAGCTGCTCCTTCCAGAATCCTAGGCTTTAGGGAACATTAATGATTCTTTTGGAAAATGTATGGTTCTGGAATTCTGAGCTGGGTCTTTGGGGAATCATCTGAAAGTCTCTACAGAGGTTCTACTTGTCACCTGTCCCCCTAAATCCACCACCACGAAGCATTTTTTCTTATATAGCCCAAGTGTAGAAGGCCTCCCTAGTTGCGGTGTGATAAGCAAGTTCACTGCTACCAACTTGAGCATCCCACAAATAAACTCACCCTTACTGTACTGTCAGAAGTGGTTCAATTCCTGTAGAGAACCCAACTCTCCACAGGAATTCTCTAAAACTTTCTTCCATATCGCCAACAATTTGGCAGGGTCAGAAGTGTATGCTGCCTCAGGCTGTGAAAACTTTTCACACCTAGATCACAATCCTATGGAGAATGAACACTCCAATTAACTGTCTGTCTTTGTGCTGTGATGCACTGTCTCGTGTCCTTCCAGGCTGGAAGCTCCTGAGCAGCCATCTGATGGCTTTTCCCAACCAACAAGGGTGTTTGCAAACCACCTCTGAGGAGATTCAAGCCACAAGAGGGTGGTCTCACCGCAGACAGAGGAATGTTGGGCTTGGAACCACTTCCAAGTTTTTTCTGGTGGTCAGACTGGTTATAAAACTAAAGAGCCTCCTTCCCTCACACTATCAGACTCTCCTGGCCAGAAAACCTGGCGTTTCAGATGCACAGGATGATTCTAGAAGTGCTCACAAAGTGGAGTGCTTTGTTGACCCCTCTCCATTCCTCACAACATCTGACCGACCAGCAGTGTGATGTACTTGGTGAGTGTTTATATCTGGCAGCCTTCAGAGGAGGACTTCCCTGAGGAATGTTCCATCAGCAAGATCAGTCAAGAGTGGAATTCTTGGCTTTCTGGAGTTTGTCTATAATATAGATCACGCTTGATCTGGTTTAAAGTGTTAAATGCTAAGTAAATGCCTCATAAATTTACAGTTTGATGAACCAGCACTGGGGTGGGAACCTTGATGCTCAAGGTTTATATAAACTACTGTTTAGGTTATTTTTAGTTTAAATAAGATTACCTGACTAAGACTTCTCTGTTATTTTAGGTTTATGTCCTAGGGCATCTATTATTTCTGGCAGCTTTATATTTAACAAAAACGTGCAGTGTAAGTACACACTGTAATTTTAACTCTAAGTGACTGCAGGGCTGGGGGCACAGATGGGCCTCATGTCACATGTATCAGATACAATAACTTAATGGTCTGGAGTTGATTTTTATCTTACAACAAAATAACACACTGCTTCTGTATTTGCTTTGGGAAATCCCAAGCATTCCATGGAGGGAGTTCTGGAAGAAGTCTCACATACTCCACCCTCCCAGCTTCACCCCAGATGTTGGAAACCACAGGAGATGGCTAAGGATTCTAGACCTGGTGCGTTTGCCATTGTAGAGGTTTCAGCTGGACTTGGCTCTGAGGTACATATCTCTCAGAAGCCTGGGATTCTGATCTCAGGTATCGGAGTCAGGTCTGGCTTCTCCTCAAAGTTGTCTTGGGTGGCTTTCAGAAATGAATACTTGAAATGGGATGAAGAATCTAGAGAAATGCTCTGGTGAGCACAGTCTCTCCACTAAAAGAGGAGGAGCTAGCAGAAGCTGGTTGGTAGCCCCATGGATCAGTTGCCTGGCAGTCTCTAGTCAGCAGATCTTATTAAAGCCGCAAACTAATATAGGAAAAAACGTTCAGCATCATTGGTAAGTTTAGAAATGCAAATCAAAACAATACTGAGATTCTGTCTCACTCCAGAAAGAATGGCTGCCATCAAGAAATCAACCAATAACAAATGCTGGCAGAGCTGCGGGGGAAAAAGGAACCCTTCATGGCTGGTGTAGACTGGTACAACCACTGTGGAAATCAGGGTGGAGACTCCCTCAATAAACTAGGAATAGAGGTCCCATTTAACCCAGCTATTCCCCTTCTCTATATTTTCCCAGAAGAATTAAAATTAATTAATTAAAATTATCATACCACAGTGATAGATGTGCATCTATGTTTACAGCAGCACCATTTGTAATAGCTGAATCTTGGAAACAACCCACATGGCTATCAACCGAGAAGGGACACAAGAGATGCATTTTTATACAAACTACTCAGCTCTAAAGAAAAACAAATTTGAGACTCTTCTAGGTAAAGGGATGCAACTAGAGACCATACTCTGAAATAAATCGTTAACGCATGTGTAAACGTCACATTATCTCCCTAGTATAAGAGACTGAAAGAGTAAATAAGATCAAAAGGAACAGTGGATATGATGACAGTGAAAGAAACTGCTCAAAAGGAAAGAACAACTGGAATGGGGGAAAGGAAGGAAAAAACATATATATGATAGCTAAGATAATTCTACTACTAATTCTATTAGTTCATGGAAAGGACAGTTAATGCTTATATTGTTTGATCAATTTTGTGCATCATCTGAGCAATTATTTCAAAGATAATATGCAACGTAATAACCATTGTTAATTTCTTGTCATCTTGTTAGATATCCTTTATTGTTTTTAACAGTTTTGTTTTCTTTTAGTCTCTTTAAAATAAAATAAATAATAAAGGTACAATAACAGGAATGGCCCTTAGCAGATTCTAGAAAATAATGGGTAATTTTATATTGGCTATTGTTAATTAGCATAATAAAAACACATCAACTTTACACTAGAATATGTTCCATGGTGAGAACCATGCTAGAACTAAATTGTGCTCTTAGTATTTTGCTACTAAGAAATTGTATCTGCAAGAAATCCAAGTCCCTAGGAGAGGTAATAGGTACAATCAGTCATAACGGGCTGAAGAACAAGGTTAACTGCCATGATCATTCATAATCTGAAAACAAAAAGGCAAAATTAACATCAAAAGTCCTATCCCAAAGAACTTCATCGTTTTTATTTAGAAAAAGAGCCCAGCAGTTTTCAAAGATTAGGAACAATGCTAGTACCAGGCTGGGGCCATCACAGGCTTAGTTCCAGTCTGATGGCCTTCCTCTCATGTCAATAAAAACAGCCATAAAACACTATGAATTTCCAAATCCCCCATGAGTAAGTAACAATCAACAGAGTGTTGGCGTTAAGGGCTTTGCTGTAGTGGATAACATCACAGTAGGTGAAACTGGACCACACATATACAGTATATGCTCTCTGTCTCAGCTAAACAGAGAGTACTGAAATGATAAACAGTCAACTTCTTGAAATTATATATATGAGATTGTGACATCAGGCCTAAGAGTCAGGTCCACATTGTTCTCTAAGTAGTCTTGTCTGCATTTGGGGCTACATGTGCATAATACATTTATCATACATGTGATATACAGTATGCTGTATATAATTCAGATCAAATGACCTTTTAACTTTCAATTTAACAAAAATTCAACCAACTGTACCAAGAGAGAGTAAGTGAGAGAAAAACAAACAGAAAAAGGACAAAGCATGAGTGACTTTCCCCTCTTCTGGTCAGCAATGTACCTCTG